AGACGACAGATTCCATGGCAGTCCGCCCCCGAACAGATCGGATACTCGTATCCTTACATCTTGGCGTTGCAAGCTCCATCCAAGGGCTCCCTTGAAGTGAGGAACCCAGAGACTCTGCATCTGCTACAGACCATCTCGCTCCCTGGCGCGGCGCAACTGCATTTCCTGCCCCCCAACCTCAGTCTTGCTCATGCGGGCAAGGGATTCCATATCTCTAGCGATCGATGCGTGTGGAAGATGGGCTCCACAGATTATGACTCGCAGATCGACGAGCTTGTGGAAAAGGGCAAGTACGATGAGGCCGTCAGCATTCTGAACATGCTGGAGGACGCTCTGCTCCAGAACAAGAAAGAAACTCTTCGAGAAGTCAAGATGTTGAAAGCTGAAGCACTTTTCAAGCAAAAAAATTACTACGATTCCATGGATCTTTTCAACGAAGATGACGTTCACGCGCCGCCTGAGCGAGTATTAAAGCTTTTCCCCCCTTCCATCGCTGGAGAGATGTCGGGTTGGGCGCACGGCGTACAGCCAGAAGAATCAGGCAGTGATGAGAAGGAAGACGAAGGAGAGTCTCAGGAGAAGACAAACGGCGAAAAGTCTGTCAAAGAAGATACGGATGCAAACCCCACATCACCCGCCAGAGGGGGCGTTGGCTTTGCCAAGCTGTTCATGGGACACCGGAAGCCAGCGCAACCAGACACTGCCTCGACCATGTCTAAGAAGGACCCGGTAGATGTCGAAGAAACCAGCAGTCACCGAAACAAGGCTGCAGAAAACCAACCTCTTGAAGGGGACGACCTTCGAGACGCCGTTAGGTCTTTAGCCGGATACCTCGTTGGAACGAGGACACGCCTGCAACGGATCATTGATCCAAGTACTGGCAAGCTGAAGAGATCGGACACGAACGGATCTACTGAAGAGGCGATGAAAAGTTTCATGTCGGGGTCGCATCTTGACGAGTCGAGTAGCCAACTTGAGGGAGAGATCCGAAGGACTTCAAGAATCGTCGACACGGCTTTGTTCCGGAGTTATATGATGACCAGCCCTTCCTTGGCCAGTCCGCTATTTCGCCTCCCCAACTTCTGCGATCCAGATGTGGTGAACGAGGCGCTACTCGCTCACAGTCGATACAACGAGTTGGTAGACTTCTTCAGTGGCAAGAAGCTACACTCCCAGGCACTGGAGCTTCTGAAGCGCTTCGGAACTGCCAAGGAACCTGACGAAGCTGCGCCAGGTCTTCACGGTCCTCGACGAACTGTGACCTATTTGCAGGCCTTACCACCATCCGAGATCGATCTAATTTTGCAGTACTCCGAATGGGTCTTGAGAGCAGACTCCAAACTAGCTATGGAGATCTTCATTGCCGACTCCGAAAACGCAGAGACTTTGCCTCGTGGTCGTGTCGCGCGCTTCCTCGGGGGGATCGATCTCAGCTTGGAGGTCCAGTATCTGGAGCATATCATCAGCGAGCTCGACGAATCGACTCCAGAATTCCACAATCGTCTGGTTGAGCTTTTCATCAAACAATTGAAAGAAAAAAAGCGGGATGACGAATGGGACGCAGAAATGGGACGCTTTGTGCAGTTCCTTAAAACCAGCAGCCAGTACAGCCTGACCAAGGCATTTAGCCTTATCCCGCGCGACGGTATTGCCTACTCGTTTCCACAGTTGGTATCGAGATGACTGACATTGGGTAGATCCCGCGTTCTACGAGGCCCAGGCTATTGTTCTAAGTAGCATGGGGTCGCATAAGCAGGCTCTGGAGATATACGTCTTCAAGATGAAGAATTATGCTAAAGCAGAAGAGTGGGTTTAGTTCACACGAAAAGGTTTTTTCTTTCTTTAACCGGGATATGATCTAACTTGCGCAGGTATTGCAACCAAGTGCACAAGTCTAAAGACTCTAGACCTTCATCTCCGGATCAGTCGCGGCGACCGTCATCGTCCGGTGACGCTGAGGACCCATCCCCGTCCATCTACCACACGCTTCTTTCATTGTACCTCACACCGCCTCCACCTCACAAACCAGCCAACGAGCCAGCTCTCGAACTACTCTCAAGGCACGGGTCACGTCTACCGGCAGCTTCGACACTGTCTCTAATCCCCGACGATCTCCCTGTCCGCGATCTTGAGTCATACTTCCGCGGTAGGATCCGGTCTGCCAACAGCGTCGTCAACGAGTCGCGCATCGTAGCTCGGCTGCGAGACACGGAGTTGGTGTCTACACAAGCCCTGCTTCTGCTTGGTGACAATATCCCTGGAGGTCAGGGTGGGCGCAACAGAAGGGTAGTCATTACGGAGGAGCGCCTCTGCGGGGTATGCCACAAGAGACTCGGGGGCAGTGTGGTGTCGGTTCTGCCGGATAACAACGTCGTCCACTACGCCTGTCTCAACAAGGCATCGTCGCAGAGGCCCCACAGCTCACGGGCGGGAACTTGGGCCCGAAGGTTTTCGTGATCAAGGGGCGCGCGGGTGTCCTTGCGGGGGGTGTTTTGGTGTTGATTTTCCTCGTACATTTTGGTAATTGCATAAGCCCGGGTAGGAGGCTTCAGCATGATACAGTAATACCCCCCGTATATAGGTGGCAAGAATGTACGATGGCGCTCTGAAGGGAGGCGTTGCTTATTCTCGCTCAGTCATCGTCGGGAGGCGCCTCTTCGCCGTAGTTCTCCTCCTCAAGTGCTTCGTCCACGGCGGGTTTGGAGGTGGCGCCGTTCGTGGTGGCCTCTCTGGCCTTGTCCTCCTCCATGCGCGCGGTCAGTTCCTTGTTAATATTTTCCTGGGCGGCGTTGATAGACTTGCGCAAGGCGTTGAGATAGGTCGCCTTGTCGCCGGCGCTGGGGGTCGGCGGGGCAGGGAGGGACTCGGAGAAGGCGAAGGGTTCGTTGGTGGGGGATTTGTAGGTGGCTGAGAAACGGAAGACCGGGGCCGAGGCCGCGGTGCCGTTGGCGTCTGTCATGATCGGGTTGGCGGGGGAGCGAACAGATCGTAAACAAGGTATTGGGACGCTCGGGTGGCCGTGTTGTGTGTCGTCAGAAGAGAGAGTGTATGTGTGTGTGCGTGTGTGAGTGAGGGGAATAATAATTATGACGGAAATTGGGCGGGTGTGGCCCGTCCGGGTTTGGCTTTGAAGGAAACCGACGGCCCCTCCATTCCAGTTGACTCGAGGGCCGCGCAGTATTACATAGTAATGTTCCGCTGAAGATGGGACTTTGGGGCCAACTGCGGGGTTGATTACACCAGACCAGCCCACACTCCAGCCCAGAAACAGGTCAGGGTCGCAACCCGCGTCGCGTCAGTGGGAACAAGGGGCTGGTACGGATGCACCGCACCACCTGGTTAGGTAAACTACTATGTAACGTAGGCCCAGCAACAGAGAGGGGGGTAGCCATCTGGGATGACATTGTGTTCCCGTTCCTTGGTTCGGGGCCTGGCAATACGCAATACGACGTGGAATGGCGATGGATGTATGATGATCAGGGTGAATTGGCCTAGCCTCGGGCGCACTGGCTCATCGCAGGCAGACGACGAACATGACCCATCCGGCAGCAAACCAACAAATCGATAGACAACCGCATCCACCGAGTAAGATTACTCGGAGTTTGTTTGATACCTAGATAGATGGCTGGGTTGGGTATTTCTAGATCGCGTGTGTAAGGTAGGTAAGCATGCTTATTACCTACCAATACTTAGTTAGCCCGCGAAGGGAGACTACGAGGTGAGAGGGACCCAATCCTGCCAGCCGCATTGATGCTGATCCTGTCCTCTCGTCTAACTCTCTCACACTCGGTCGGCCCTTGAGGCGCAATCCACTTCGCTTTCTCATACACACCCTATTTCCCTCCCTAGCCTCGTATTTTCTCGGCCTTCTTACATCACCAATTCCCGCAACTTTTTTTTTTTTTGAGCATAATCCTACACAACCATTTTGCGGCGGCCCCTCCCAGCCGTGCAAACAATTATCAACACCCCACCCCTGCACTCGCCGGCTGCTTCCCTTACTCAACACAGCCAAGAAGCCAAACAGAACCAACCTTTACGCGAATCAGGCCTTCTTCACCCAATCTCGAATCGTCCGAAGCTCCAAGATGTAACAGATCCCTAACATATCCTCGACAATGCAACCAGCACGGCCCCCGCCCCGAGCGCCGGGCAGCTTTAGCCCTCTGCCGGGATCTACGGCCTCCAACGCACCGCCGCCTCAACGTCCACGACCACCTGCCCGCGCCGAGTCGACATCCAGCGAAGAGAGCCCCTCGATCAGTTTCGTCAAGCCGCGAACCCACGCTCCCAGCGCCCCTACGCAACCTTCCAGCACCCCGATCTACGCCCAGTTTACATCCCAGCCCAACTCGAGCACCACAAGCCTGCAGAACTTTTCGCGCCCGACTGCTCAGCGATCAGGAACCACGCCTGGAGGGCCAGCAGGTCACGCCTCGGCCGGAGGAAACGATCTGAGCGTCACCGTGAGCGCAGTCGCCGCTGCCCGCACGGCGAGTCCCCTGACGAAAGGGCATTCGAGGAAGCACAGTCAGACCCCCGGTCTGTTCGACTCGACGCTGCCGTCGACGAGCACCTCGAATCTGCCCCAGGTTGCCATACCACACCCGTCCGCCAGCTCGTCTTCCACACAACAGCAGCACCAGCACCAACTGCCGAGCCCCGCCCTTTCGGCGAGCCATATTGCGGCACAGGCGGCCTTCCAGCACCAGAACAGCCAATATAACCTGCAGCTGCAGCACGCCCGACAACGATCGCAGACCGTCCCCAACCCCAACGGAGACGGCGACGGCGCGAGGAGGGGGAGCAGCGGAAAGGGCCCACTCAGCCCTCCTGTCTTAAGCCTGACCGAGGCAAGCGGTCCACGAGAGAGCGGATTTGGGAGTCAAGGATACCACAACGGCCTTCTGGGAAGCCATTCAGCCGCCGCGACAACAGCCGCGAACGCAGCGTTCCCGCGATCGGGCCAGACTTCACCAGGCTTGTCACAGTCACAACAGCAGCAGCAGCAGCAGCAGCAGCAACAACAGCAACAGCAACCGCAGCCTCAACAGCAGCAGCAGCAGCAGCAGCAACATAGTCCAGTTCATCCTCCGCCGCAGTTCATCCCAGATCAGAAGCCGGTAAAGCCAGAAAAGTCCAAGGTCAAGCTCTTCTCGCGCCCGGTCAAGATCGGCACCAAGGCCGATCCCAAAGATAAACCACTTCCGAGCCCCAGCAAGATCGGCAGCGCGCTCGCTTCGTTACAGCGGGGAAATTTTAGCACGAGTAGTCTGGTTGATACCAGCAGCCAGTCCATATACAACCTCAACAATTCGTCTTCGGCCACCATTCGCGCAGTTCCCGAAACACCCACCATGGAAAAGGAGGGGAAGGAAAAGGAAAAGAAGCATCATTTTTTATCACGGCAGAAGCACAAACTCAAGGATGACTACCATCTTCCGCTGTCTTCCGCATCGAGCAACTCGAAACCTACAGACCCCAGCGCCCCCTCGAGTTTGTACAGTTTCAACTTACCCCCTAGCCCTGCCCCAACTGCAACGTCGTTTGGCAAGGCTCGGCGGGACAAAAAGACTGAAAAGGAGACCAGCAACCTCAACGTCGAATCGAGTTCGCTTCCCGCAGAGTGGCCAGGGCCAAGCAGCCTACCAACTTTGACGCATCAGTCGTCGTATCTCTCCGAACCAATTGACGCAGGCAAGTACGGTCTCAACAGCATGGCTCTCGACGATGCTTGGCCGTATTTGAAGGCGAAAATGCTCGTCATCTTTGAGGGCGAGGACTTGCGACAGCCAGTGGAGGATTTTAACAAATTGGTCACGCTGCACATACAATACTGCATTCAGCGCAGGTCACCCAACATCATCCTCGAGGACTTGCGCGAGCTCCTTGCGACCGGCTTTGCGTCTTTAGATATGACTCTCAGACGTACGCAAGAGGACAAGGTCATCCCGGCTCTCGTCGAGATGTGGCTCATTACCTACACCTCCATTCTGCCCTATATGCAGGCCGTCTTCCTACCTCTGGACCTTGAGTTCTCTGGCTGCGGTGTGCTCATGAACCACGACCAAGCTCGTGACTTCTGGGGCGGCATCAAGGCACCGTCTTCAGACAGCGCGTCGTATGTCAGCCCCGCGTGCGCCGTCCTCGATGTCCGCCGCATTGTCCTCACAGCGTATCGCGACATTGTTATCCTTCCCCGCTACGACTCACTCAAGGCTATTTTCTCCCGACTATCCCTCGAGTTCCTTCCGTCCTCGTTCGCCTCCCTGGCCCTCGCCTCACCACTGCCGGACCCGGCGCTCTCCTCTAGCCCGGCAGACACTATGTCTATGATGCGCCCCGGAACGGCCATGAGCCTGGACCCATCCGTTGCGAGCTACAATTCTAACGCGACGACGCTCCTGGGCGACGGCAGCTCAGGGGGTGGCGGTGGAGGGCGCAGCCGCGGACTCAGCAATGTCAGCTACGCCAGCGCCGGTAGCGACGGGCAACTGCGGCCGTTCACGCGCGAGCAGAACGTCGAGGACTCTAAGCAGGTCACTGAGATGGTCGGGCGTATGCTACAGTGTATGAGCATTCTTGCTAGCATCGGCGGCACTTCCGGCGACGGCAGCGACGAAGGCAACAAGCGGATGGAGGAGCTATGCCGGCTGCTAAAGCTCAATTGGCTCGGCAGGGGCCGGACAGGGAGGAACCGGAGGGGTATTGTTGGCGGCAGACGGCGGGAGATTCCCGAATCCATCAGAGAAGGGCTGCGCGTTGTTTGAGGGGGATGATGGCCACTTTCCAAGTGGGGTGGGCTCCCCCCCAAATGTTTTTTTCGGCGTTCGCATATGGCCTATTGCAACATAAACGCGGTGTATGGTTACGGCCTCCGTGACGGCGTTTTATTTTATTTTATGGGCGGCGGCAGGCAGGGGGAGGGCATCTATCACAAACACCAACGATCATAGCAAAGTGGTGTTTTATATGGCTCGTTTGGCAAGGCAAAAGTCAGAGGGGGAGAGAGGATGGTATCGGTTCCTGGAAGCCCCCCTGATTCTATGGGCGTGTACTGCATGGTTTTTACATGGTTGGAGCATTGCAAATTGAAACTGATCAAGTACATGACGTAAATGTCTCATCCAGCATCTGACGTCGTTCCTAGGGCCTGAGACTGGCCTTCAATCCCGGCGGCCTCGTGGTGGTCGAGACTTGATGGAAGCAATGTGAAGCCTGTCAAACTAGAGCAACTGGAAGATTGAGATTTTCTTCCCGCACGTATTCACAAATTGGGCCAAAAGGTCATGCACCGAGATTCGAGAGTAATCATGAATTTTTCTTTATTTGTATTTCTGACTCTGTCGAGGCACGAGGAGATGGTTGCCGGCGCAAACTCGTCAACTATGTATGAGTGGTTCTCTATGCAGCAAACCTGATTTAATGTTAGACAAAATCCTACGCCGGAAAACAACAAAAAATCGTAAAACCCAAAAGGCTGGTAAAGACGGTCAGACATCCAAGGAAGAATTTGCCCTCATGCATCACTTAAGACGCCCTCTTTTGAAAAAGAAGCGCCCGCCGGAAAAGCTCGTGGCCGTGACTCGAGTGAAAACTGCGAATTTGATGGATATTTCATCATGTTGAGAGGAAGGGAAGCGGGCAGGTGTGGATAAAAGTAAATGTTCGGACTAACCTTTGATGGAAATGACATAGCCATCGCTGTGGATGTTAGTCGATATAGTATGGTAGCAAGTGGCTTTTGGCCATGGTCCTGGACATCTATCTCACAAGTCAGCAAGAACGTTTCTAGATACATCGATGCTGATTAGGTGAGAGGGTGATGTGTCAGACAGAATATACTGGCAAGTAACAGGTTCGCCTTGACGGGAACCCGAACAGACTAGGTTTCTTCATGGTCGATTCGGTTGGGAAAAGAAGACAATGTTTCTTGAGTGTCATCATTCGGAAATGGGGGGAGAACAGCGAGCAAATGTGACCTACCTGACGTGTGGAAGCTGGAAGCTGATCGTTGTAAGTAGGTCGACAGTTCGTAGCTAGCAAACCTTTGCTCGTCACGATGCTAGGAACGCGCTCCTTCCCGTAAAGCTTGAATTGAAGCTCTTGGAACTTCGCGGGTTTGCACGAGTCAGGAAGGAGGGAGCGCGTTTCTGCCGTCGATGAGAGTCAAGATGTGATGCCGAGAAGTGGTGCAGAAAAGGTTCTGACGTGCAGAGGAACAGTTTTTATAGATGAGGCTCATGAGAGAAAAACTGGAGACAGAGTTGGGAAGATTTTTTTTTTCCTAGCACCTTCATATGGCCCCATATTGCACGTGACCGGAACTCGGTGAGTGTGCTGTTGTTCTGGATCAGGGTGGGGGGGTTAAAGGTCACCACGTGACCAACTACACTAGTTGCACGGAATATTCGCCGTGATGCCGGTCCCCGCCTTCCGAGATGCATCCTGGGCCTTATTGGTCAACTCCTCAAGGTTCATGTCACCAGACGTGGATGGAAGGGGAAGAAGGCCGTGGGCACGAGAAATGGGAGGAGAAACCACGTATCCGGGTGGTTCGGCGAACACGTGGTGGCCATTGACAGATGCAAAACCCAGCAAGGGAACGGGCAGGTCGACGCGATTCCAGCGCTGTCATTTTCGTTGTTGCCCTTTGTCAACTTACTGGCGTCGCGTCCCGGTGAAGTGGGAGAGAGGGAGGGCTGGAGGAGGGGGGAATTAAGGAGTGACGGGGTTGCAACAAAGTTGCAACAAAGCGAGGCTTCTCTGACTCCTGTCTCCTGCCTCATTGCTATCCTGCGACACCTGCTTCACCCCTGGATGGATATTGCTGAAGAAGAGTGGCTTTTTGCATAGAAACGCTGATCGCAGCCACCCTCTTTCTGCTTAAGTGAATATCTTGCATTCATTATGGAGCTTCCCGCTGCCACAGTCTGGCATATCCATGCGTACCTCCCCTATAGTTGCATAGTGTGCTCTTCTAAACGGATCAAGCCCCACACCCCAGTCGAAGCAAAGGGTTGTCCCAACTTCCCGGCGCTCCAGCCTGACATTCTGGCATGGTCGCCCGCCCACCTCGCGCTCCTCTGTCCCTGCCCTCTCCCCGTCTCGACCTCTCTCGATCGGCCTCAGGGTTTGGATTTGGCCGCAACTTGACGCCTCACCGTCCGCAACTTCCTCTGCTTTTCTCTTTTCCCCTAATCCTCTCTCTCATAACACCCCTGGGCCCAGCTCCTCTTTATTTTTATTCCGTTGCATCGGGGTCCCGGGACTCGTCTTGTTCGTCTTGTTGCTCAATCGGAAGCCCCAACCCGCTTGCAAAAAAAAAAAAAAAAGAGTCCAGAGCTTAGATCCCCAGCTCTCCCCCCCAGGTCCTTTGCCTGTCTTGTCTTTGCGTCCGTCTTTCCACTCAAGCCCAACCACACACAGCCTGCACCACAACCACCTCGCACTCTCCAAATCTCACTCTCCTGCTTTTTCATAAGCAAGGCGCCGCGGAAAGGCTTGTTCGTTCGCCCGCGTTCGACGTGTGCGATAATAAAAAAATCGGGCATTCAAACAAAATAACCCGCTCCGGATGTCATCGACTTGCGTCGATTGAAGCACATACGGGCCACCTTACCAGGGATTCCCACTTTGTTCGTTCGCTTTGGTTATCGCGCGATCATCGACACGGGTCTTGCGTTGTGTCCACCTTTTTTCCTCGAGATCGCAACAGCGCATCTTCCCTCCTCCTCTCTCCCCCCAGTCCGCTCGCCACGTCTCTTTCCGACGCCAACTCTCCTCCTCCCGTCACCGGGCTCTTTTAGTTGCACCCACCCAACAACCTGCCCGCCGCCCTGAACCTTTCTTCCCGTTCTTTTTGTTTGTGGTCGCATCCCAACTTCGCATACTCAAAAATTACACGTTGTCGTCACGCCGATCATCGATGCCTTTGCGGTTCGCCTTCACCAGTTGACCCTGCCGTTTCGCAAGAAAGACGCCCCCTACCGCAATCGATAACGCTAGTCGAAACCGCCGCACCACCCTCGCGCGATTGAGACCACTTCCCGCGTCTCGCAAATCACGACCTGCATCCTTTTCGCGTCGCGCCATCACCCTCGACGCTCAACCCACTACGCCGCGGCCGATTGCCGATACCATCGAGATTCAACACGTCTAGGGCGCATGCGCATGAGATAGTGCGGAGGGAAGAGACGTCGATATCCACGCTGTGGATCATCGACACCCTGAAGACATGATGACGAGTATGGGACCGTCTTTTGCAGGTCATCCTGCCGGCATGCAACAACATCCAGGTGTTCCAGGCCATCCTATGGCTCAGGGGATGCCTCACAATCCGGGTCAGCAAGGCCCGCCGGGCGGAGGAATGCCTCACCAGATGCATATGGCGGTGTCAGGGCCTGGTGGTCAGGTTAATCCAAACCAGTTGATGGGCGGTATGCCGCCGGGTGCTGGTGGTCCGAACGCTCACGCTCTGCAGCATCTCAATCCTGCCCAGAACCCAATGTTCCAGCAGAACCAGTTCGCCAACTGTATGCCCACCCTTCCAATTGTCCCATTTTTGTGCATCTCTAATGAATCCGCGCAGACAACAACCCAGCCGCGATGGCGCATGCCACCCAGATCGCACAGCAGCGGTTATTCCAGCAGCAGCAACAGGCACGGCAAGCGCTCATGGCGCAACAGGCCTTCAACGCGAACATGGCCGGCGTCAATGGCATGCCGATGGGTATGCAGATGAACCCCATGAACGCGGCCCAACTTGCAGCTATGCGGCAGGGCATGCGACCGGTAAGGATATCATCGCTATGTTCGCTGCAGGAAGCGTACTGACGCAAGGCGGTAGCAGGGACACAACCCTCAGGCACAAGCGATGCTCGCCCAGCAGATCGCTCTCCAACAGCAGCAGATGCAACAACAGGGTCAACAGCAGGGCCAGCCGGTCCAAATGAACCCTCAGCACATGCAGCTCCAGCAGGCCCAGATGGCTGCTTCGTTGCAGGCCCAGCAGCAGCAGCAACAGCAACAGCAACAGCAAGCTCAGCAGCAACAACAGCAGCAACAAGCTCAGCAGCAGGCTCAACAGCAACAGGCCCAGCAACAGCAGGCCCAGCAGCAGCAGGCTCAGCAACAGCAGGCCCAGCAGCAGCAGCAACAGGCCCAGCAACAGCAGCAGCAGCAGCAACAGCAGCAGCAACAACAACAACAGGGCCAGCCTCAGGGCCAACCGCAGCAGCCTCAGCCGCAACCCCAACAGACGCCTCATCAGACACCGCAGCAGCAGCCCGCGCAGCCTGTTAACCCTCAGTCTGCTGGTCAGCCTACGCCATCTCAAACTCCCGGGCCTGCTCCGAACCAGCAGCCGCAGCCTCCTCAGGCACAGGCCCAGCCTCAAGGCCCTCCCCAAATGGCTGCTCAGCCTGGGCCGCAACAGATGAACCCCGCCCAGCAGGCCGCAGCTCAGGCTGCTGTTGCCAACAATCTTGCCATGGCTCAGCAAAGAAGGGAAGGGATGAAGGGGCACTGCCTGCTTAAGCTGATGCAATTTAGCGAGCACCTGAGCGGCTTCCCCGTAAGTCAAGCTTTCAGATAATGGTAGTGAATATGTTTGTTAACAAATGCACAGGGTTCCAAGGGCAAGGACGACCTGTCTTACTGGAACAGCTTCGTCAACCAGTTCTTCTCCACGAAGGGTGTTTTCCGCCACTCGGTACACATCACGGATGTCGAAGACCAGGCAGACAAGCAATACGAAATCACATATCCCGCTCTGCCGCGATACTTTCACACGCACTTTGACAGCGGTGTGAAGAACATGCAGTTGATCATGGAGAAGGGAACTACCGACAGACCACTTCCAGGCGATGGCCATTGGATCGAGAACACCAAGTCGAGTCTCGTTTATTGGTTCGAGAGCGGCTCTCACGTAAGTCGGACTTGCCTCTATCAACAAGAGATCATCTAACACCTCACAGCTCGTTGCAACGGGAACCGTCAGAGCGCACTTTGATGCGGAGCAAAAGATTGAGCTGTTTGAGTTTCTGACCAGCAACCACGAAGAGTACATTTCTCGAAAGGCCGCCATCGAAGCCGCAAAGCCTATACACAATTGGGTCAAGGAGTGGCACAAGGTCAACTCCCAAGATAGCAAGGCTTCGCCGGAGATGAGCAAGAAGGGCAAGGCCCGTCTCATGAAGTCTCCGCAAAATCCTCCGCCGGAGGCGCTTGTGGATCTCCCAGAGTCGGCGGTCAAAAGGGGTATGGGTGTTACCGAAGCCGTCTTCCAGTTCCTCGAGGTATGTGACAGCTCGTTCATGCACGGATGTGGATCTCCGGTACTAAGATGACATGCAGATTGCTGAAGTGATCGGTCAAATGAACCCACTCTTCGCCTTCTACCACACCCACCCTAACCTCGGCCCGTACGCTGCCCTGGAGCAGTACGTCAGTCAGATCAACGCCGTGCCTGCAAACATGAATGGCCAGCCCATGCCTCAGGGCCCGAGGACGCCCAGCTTCGGCCAGTTCCCCATGGGTGCGAGCCCAGCACAGCCGCACATGCAGCTACCTGGGTCGCCTCATGTCCAGGGCAGCCCTGCTCAAGGTCATATGCAGGCACCCGGCATGCAGATGCAGCAGAGCCAGCAAGGCACCAGCTCCAGCGGGCCCAGTGCAAACACATCTCCAGCTTCCAACAAACGAAGACGTCCATCCGGTGTCAAGATGGAGGAAGACGGCTCCCAGGCCCCAACTCCGGGCGGCCCCCAAGTCAATGGGATCCAGAACAAGGGCAAGCCGCCTACACCGCGGATGGCGAAGAGGATGAAGGGCAACCCGGCATGAGCCAGGGGAATGTCTCTGGCCATCCGGATTTTGCTCTAATACGAGTCGGGCTACACGGACTCAGTAATGCCTTTTTTATGTCATCATTATGCAGCATGGCGGCGTCTTAGTGCTTGGCTTTATAGCTCTGGAATCTTGGGGCTGTTCATACGCGGGTGTTCGGCAAGCATATCGGTCGTTCGGTGCTGTCTGGGAACGATATCCGCCACAGGGCCCTCAGTTGTTCTCGTTTGGCATATGGGCTCTCTTATCGATCACGCCCATCAGAGGAGCAGGCAAATTCCTGCATGATCTTGGGCTGCGACGTCGCCGCTTAGTCTGCTGTACAAGTGGTGATGCGCGCGCCCAAAGGAGGCTCTTATCGCTGTCCAAGATAGGCAAGCGTGGGCTGCAACTTGTCGCCCTTCAAACGA